TAAACTTAAACAACGTATTTTGGAGATTTTTCTATATCAGTGCCTTAAAAAGCCTTCCCATTCTTTATACCATTGTGGGAGTATACCACAATAGCCAGTGTCTTATTCATGGAAATATAGGTTTCCAAGTTTTAGCTCTGACAAAGAGTGTCGTAATGAATGACCTCCTACAGACATCATTTTCAGTGTGTGCACTTTATCAGAAAGATCAATTCCTAGAAGTGGAATTACTAGGGCAACAAGTAAGGAGCCCAAGTGTTTTTCTTTTCTTTCTTTTTTTTTTTTTTTTTTTTGAGACAGAGTCTCGCTTTGTTGCCCAGGCTAGAGTGAATGCCGTGGGCTCAAGCAATCCTACTGCTTCAGCCTCCCGAGCAGCTGGGACTACAGGCATGTGCCACCACGCCCCGCTAATGTTTTCTATATATTTTTAGTTGGCCAATTAATTTCTTTCTATTTATAGTGGAGATGGGTCTCACTCTTGCTCAGGCTGGTTTCGAACTCCTGACCTTGAAGGCCTGCCTGGCCCTCTCAGAGGGCTAGGATTACAGGTATAAGCCACCACGCCTGGCCACGGAGCCCAAGTTTTACAACTGGACAAGCCCAGAATTTGAAACCCAGCCTCTGCACTTGAACCTGGTTGGTGCCAAAAGTCTGGGCCTAGGTCTATGAGGCTCAGCTGCAACCCCTGTTCCCTCCCACCTGAAACACTTCATCTCCTGAGTTTTATTTTCTGTAAAACTGAGATATTTACTTTGCAGGCTTTGCAGATTACATGAGGTGACATATTCAAAGCTCCTGGCCTAGGCACTTACTATAGCTCGGTTTCCATCTCTCCTTTGTAAATCATTCAATTTGGCAGCTCAGGGGAAGTAGGTGGCTCAGTGATTCTGTGGAGGCATGTTTTCCTTGCCAAGTAGGCTTTTCCCCAGACATCTCTATGAAGTCCTTTTGTTCAAGGTTGTCCTTAATATTAATTGTTTTTTTTTTTTTCTTTAAAATAGAGATGGGTCTTGTTCTTGCTCAAGCTGGTCTCAAACTCCTGAGCTGTCCCACCTCGGCCTCCCGGAGTGCTAGGATTACAGGCATGAGTCACCTGTATTAATATTACAGGTTACAAGTAATATTAAGTGGGCCGGGCACCTAACATTAATTGTAACCAAATTTTATCTGTATAAAAAGGTAATAATATGGGGAAATGCCTGGGAAATAATGTTACACCAAAGAGCAGGATATGAAACAGTGTAAACTGTGACTCTAATTTTGCTTTAAATATAGGCATAGAAAAAGAGAGCAGAAGGAAATGTATCAATATGTTACCAGTGATTATCCTTAGGAGGTGGGATTATGAGTGGTTTTAATTCTCCTAGGTGTGTCTTTCTATATTATCCAACTATTTATTCTACAGTGAGCATAATTGCTTTTATATTTTAAAAAGGCGAAATAAGCATCATTTAAACTTGATGACTTGATGATGGGATGGTATGCTTCTGGAAGAGAACCTAAGAAACTGTTCATGGTGGTTATCCCCAGTGAGGGCCACTAGGGGGTTGGGGACTGGGGTGAGAGAAGGGCTGATTTTTTTTTTTTTAATATAGTTTTGAATATCATACCACCTGTATTTATCACCAATTAAAAAATAAATAAATAAAAAGGGCCGGGCGCTGTGGCTCACGCCTGTAATCCTAGCTCTTGGGAGGCCGAAGGCGGGATTGCTCAAGGGTCAGGAGTTCAACCAGCCTGAGCAAGAGCGAGACCCGTCTCTACTATAATAAAAGAAATTAATGGCCACTGATATATAATAAAAAAAAATTAGCCGGCATGGTGGCGCATGCCTGTAGTCCAGCTACCGGGAGCTGAGGCAGAAGGATCACTCGAGCCCAGAGTTTGAGGTTGCTGTGAGCTAGGCTGACACCACGGCACTCACTCTAGCCTAGGCAAGAAGCGAGACTCTGTCTCAAAAAAAAATAAAAAATAAAAAAAAATAAATAAATAAATAAATAAAAAGAAAAAAAGAAAGAAACAAAATCTGGATAGGAAGGGCTTGCCCAGTGTGGTCTTTGTGGCCCTGGTGTCTACACTGTGGTGACTTGGGTGAGATGGGCTGAATGGGCGCCCTGGCTGGAAGGCTCCTCTCCTGTTTCCTCAGATCCAGATCAAGGAAGAGACCCGCTTGGTGTCCGTCATCGACCAGATTGACAAGACTGTGGCCATCATCCCCCGGGGTGCCCTCTTCAAAACTCCTTTCGGACCCACCCATGTCAATCGGACCTTTGAAGGCGAGTTCTCTGGGGCCCCTCTCGAGGGCAGGAAGGGCAGGAAGGGCAGGAAGGGCAGGAAGGTGTCTCTTCCCAAGTGTAGTCAGACATATGTCTGGGAGTTTGAGGGAACCAGCCTACTTCCTTGCAGAAGGAGTAGCTGTGGCCCTATCACCTGGGAGAATGTGCCTGATGACCTGGAACCAGTGAGTCACTGGACCCTGACTCTCTTCTGCCTGAGGGGATGGGAGAGCACATGGTTGCTTGGTTCCTATGGCTTTACATGAGTGTAGGCCACCTGCCTTTCCCACCTCCCTTCTCCTTGGACTTTTTAAATTTTTTATTTTTAAAGAGATGAGTTTTCCCTATGTTGTCCAGGCTGGCCTCAAACTCCTGGCCTCAATCGATCCTCCTGCCTCAGCCTCCCAAGTAGCTGGAACTATAGGCACATGCCACCTTGCCTGGCCTCCATGGACTCTTGATTGCAGGATCCAGGCCAAGTTTGGACTGAGAAAACAGTAATCCCTCTCCTCCCTTCAGTTCTCTTGTCAGTGGTTGACCGAGTCCTTTGCAAGCCCCTCCATGTGATCCCAATACAGAGAGAAAGGGGCCTCTGGGTGTGGGGCTGACCATTTTCTTCCTGCCACCCCTTTCTAGGACTGTCCTTGTCTGAGGCCAAGAAGCTCAGTTCCTACTTCCACTTCAGAGAGCCTGTTGATCTGAAGAATAAGACCTTGCTTGAGAAGGCTGATCTGGACCCCTCCCTGGATTTCATGGACTCCTTGGAGCATGACATCCCCAAAGGTAAAAGTCTATTAACTCAAGGACATGGATCTGCCCCCAGGTCAGAGCAGTGGGCCATGCCACCTGCCATTCTCCTCTGAGACTGGAACCAAGGCCCTGGGTGGGAATTGGTGGTTCCCCATGGGTTCTTGAGGGTGGGGCTTCCCCAGCTCATAGTAGAAACTCGGTTAATATTTTCAAATGGCAAAAGGTAGGATTGTTTTCCATATGCTTCCATAGAAAGGAAATATCTCAGTGTCTCTTGATTTTCATAGCAGTGTTGAATGGAGACAGATTGGGAATCTTCTCCCAAACATCTGTGAGAACATCCCTGAAAATACCAGCCACATGCATCTCAACTCTTAGTTTTGGGGTTCTATACCAGACACATGCATCTCAACTCTTAGTTTTGGGGTTCTATCCGATGCTTGGCACATGGTATTCAATAAGTGGGTATTGGTTGGCTGAATAGTAAGCCACCTGCTAAGGAAATGAGTTCTGTACATTTGCTTTCTGTTACATGTGTGGTACTTTTTTTTTTTTTTGAGATGGAGTCTCACTCTGTTGCCTGGGCTAGATTGCCGTGGCAATCAGCCTAGCTCACAGCAACCTCAAACTCCCGGGCTCGAGTGATCCTTCTGCCTCAGCCTCCCGAGTAGCTGGGACTACAGGCATGCGCCACCATGCCTGGCTAATTTTTTCTATATATCTTTAGTTGGCCAATTAATTTCTTTCTATTTTTAGTAGAGGTGGGGTCTCACTCTTGCTCAGGCTGGCCTGGCCATGTGTGGTACTTTTTAATCTTAAAACACAGCTTCATGGGACTTCTTGTGCTGCAGGGCCCACCTGGCCCAGGCACAAACCCAGAAGTTGTTGGCAAGGCCACCAAGACCTCATTTCTTTCCCTTGAGCTTCACCAGTAGAGAAGAGCATGTCATAGGATGCTAACCCAAGACAGGTGCCAGGTTCTAGGTGATTGGGGGCCAAGCCCAAGGCACGGACTCAGTGCCCATCTTCTTTCCCTCCCATGTTGGGTGTTTCTGAGAACGAGAGGGATCTGATGATGAGGATGGCAACGATAATGACAATAATAATAACTAACTCATAAAAGTAGTGACACCACACCACTTACTGTGTGCCAGGCACTGTACTCAGCCCTTGCTGTGCCTTATCTTATTTTAGTCTTCACAGCTAGCCTATGAGGTGGATATTATTATTATTCCCATTTTACAGAAGAAGAAACAAAGGTTCTGAGAGTTAAACTCCAGGACACAGTAAGTGTTAGAGTGTTAGACTCCAGGACGATGGCATTAACTGTGGTGTCAAGTAGATGGTATTTCCTTTTAAACACCAGTGGGAATGACAGGACCATGGTCACCTCCCCCCCCCCCCACTAGGGGAAACACTCCTGAGGAGCACCAAGCAGCACAGCTGGGCTGGAACTCAGGATGGGGGTGGGCTGGCAAGGGCTCTGGAATCAGACAGCCTGGGCTGGGATCCTGATTCAGCCACTCACTAGCTGTGTGACTTTGGGCAAGTCCCTCCAATTTCCTCGTGCCTCAGTTTCCTTGTTTCTAAAAGGGGGAGATTGGTATTTGTTATCTCATTAGGGTTGTTATGAGAATTATATGAGCTAACTCATATACACATACAAAGTACTTGCAACAGTGCCTAATACACAGTAAGGACTCGAATAAATATGAATATAGGTATACTTTGGAGCTATTATGGGTTTGGTTCCTGACCACTGCAATAAAGTGAGTACCACAATGAAGTGAATTGCACAAATTTTTTTTGGTTTCCCAGTGCATATAAAAGTTATGTGTACACTATTCTATAGTCTATTAAATATGAAATAGCATTATGTCTAAAGAAAAACTACATACCCTAATGAAAACATACTTCATTGCTAAAAATGCTAACAATCTTGTGAACATTTAGTGAGTCATATCTTTTTTTTTTTTAAAGTGTATTTGACAATTTTATTTTAGGCTGCAAAAAAAAAAACAAAAACAAGCAAACAAACAACCAACAACAAAACACTTGAAATAGGCTTGACAAAAGATGTAAATTCATCCTTTCCAGGGAAGCAGAAGGCAGACCCTACCACAAAGAAAAGATACTTAGTTAATGGAAGTTAAATTTAAAAGTACAGTTAAATAATATCAGGCTAACTTTTGGAAAGCCTAGGTTTTATTCACCTCCCTGTGGTTCTAATAACTGTATTATGAGTTAAGTTTCTTTATAGTTAACTGTGTCACCTAAAATATGGAAATCCAGTAAGAACCTAATAGTTATTGGGTATGGTCTTACTGGAAATTATTTTTTTTTAATTTATTTTTTATTTTTGTTATTTTTTGAGACAGAGTCTCACTTTGTTGCCCAGGCTAGAGTGCAACCTCAAACTCCTGGGCTTAAGCAATCCTCCTGCCTCAGCCTCCCAAGTAGCTGGGACTACAGGCATGTGCCACCATGCCCGGCTAATTTTTTCTATATATGTATTAGTTGGCCAATTAATTTCTTTCTATTTATAGTAGAGACGGGGTCTTGCTCTTGCTCAGGCTGGTTTCCAACTCCTGACCTCAAGCAATCTGCCTGCCTTGGCCTCCCAGAGTGCTAGGATTACAGGCGTGAGCCACCGCGCCCGGCCGGAAATTCTTAACCATATAGTTGATTCACCAAATTTTTTTTTTTAATGATGAATTGCCTTAGTTTATGTCACTGCATTTCTATAACAAAATAATGAAAGGCACAGCCAATGCAAGCGGACTTAACCCCATGCAACAAACAGCTGAAGAAATACTTTGGTTCTTCGAGGAAAAAATTAGGGGAAAAATTTGTTTCATTTAATAGTTATTAATTTTAATAGCTGTACTCCAATAGCTATATGATGAAAACATTCCAGAAGAACTAAACTATGTATCAATGAATGAACACGCGTGAAATAATTTGTGCCTTCAACATACCTGGCAGAAAAACCATAGTTAAAATGTTAGGTAGAACAAATTGGTCTTTAAATATCAGCTCCTGTTCTTTAAAAAAAAGTTACTGAGTCTACCAAGAAAATACAAAAACATAAGGGTGTGAGTAAACAATAGTTGTGTTTAGGCTATTACGGTGCAGATTATCCTCAAGGCCGCGTACATCCTGCTTCACTGCTGCTTGCACTCTGCTGGGTTTTGATCCTTCTTCGGGTCGTAGTCTGGATCATTTTCCTCATCTCCTTCTTCTTCCCCTTCCTCATCCGCTTCTTCACCTTCTTCATCATAATCATCGTCGTCATCTTCAATAGCTTCTCCAGTGAGGTATAACACTGATCTTGGGATTGTACGTTCACGTAAAAAGTGGCCGGTTTCAGAGTCCGCGGCAGGGATAGCTTCGGCGCCATCTTCCAGATCCTCACTCTTAGGAACCTCAGGATGCGCACAAAGACTGAAGAAAGAGTCATTGGAAACTGTCTCAGTCACAGTACGAACTGGCCCACGTCCCTTGTGTTTCTGCTTCTTCTTGATGGTTTTCAAAGTGACATTCTTTCCTTTTTCCCAGTCTATCTGGCACCCTGTACAGCCCATAATTTCTGGTCCATCAAAAGAAAAGGGATCAGAATCATCTGGTTCTGACCCCATCCTATATGTCTCTGTCAACACTTCATTTGTGAAATATTCATTGGGTTCAAAGTGAAATTCTAAGACAAAACTCACTGGCTGGCCGGCATCTGAAAACTTCACTTTAATTATCTTTCAAATGCTTCAGAATAGGTTCATCATGTTCCCGAACCATCTCACTGAGCAAGTCAACATTTTTCAAAACAGTCAACCAAAATTCAGGGATTCCTTTGGGATCTTCTTTTTCTTCATCCTTTTTTCTCCTCTTCAATCTTGTCCTTTTCTTTTAGCTCCTCAGAAATTTCGTCGTCTTCATCTGGTTTCCATTCACATTCTTCTTCCGTAGGTTCATAAACTGCATTAATAATCTCAAACCGCTTATCGAGTAGAGGCTGATAGGGAGCCCCATACTTCCTTTCAAGATCATGAACTTCCTCATAGAATTTGGCTTCTATCTGTGCACATTTAACTTGAAGGTTTTTGAGAACATTCACTCGCCTTTTAGCTACCCTAGGCAAGCTTTCAGTGTATCCTGTTGGTGTTTCCACCAGACCATCAAGTCCTTCTTGAAGGGCTGCAAGAATCTGAGGATTTCGCATCATCTGAACAGTCAGCTGACACGCTTTGATTTTTGTTTCTTCACCAGTTTCTTCTTCTACTTCTTCAACATCATCCAAATCTTGATCAAGTTCACACTGTTCTTTGTTGTCAATGTCTGCTGTGTTGTTAAGATCTCCAAATACCGGTAGGTAGTACGGGAACCAGGTGGCCCCAGCTGCCGCAGTGACTCTGGCAGTGACTCGGGGCAGCAGGGGGCAGTGACTCAGGGCAGCAGCTGCAGTGGGAGGAGCAGGAGGGGGCGCAGCTAGCGCTAAAAAAGCGTGAGTCATAATCTTTTTTCTACTAAGAGGGTCTTGCCTCAGTATTGATGGCTGCTGACCGGTCAGGGTGGTGGCTGCTGAAAATTGGGGTGGCTGTTGCAATTCTCAAATTAACACAACAGTCAAGTTTGCTGCGTCAATGGACTCATCCTTTCATGAAAGATTTCTCTGTGGCGTGAGATGCTAGTTGATAGCGTTTTACCCACAGTAGAACTTCTTTCAGAATTGGAGTCAGTCTTCTGAAACCCTGCCACTGCTTTATCAGCTAAGTTTATGTAATATGCTAAATCTTTTGTTGTCACTTCAACAGTGTTCACAGCATCTCACCAGGAGTAGGTTCCACCTCAACAAACCACTTTCTTTGCTCATCCTTAAGCAGCAGCTCCTCGTCATTCAGTTTGATCATGAGATCGCAGCATTCAGTCACATCTTCAGGCTCCACCTCTAATTCTGGTTCTCTTGCTGTTTCCACGTCGGCAGCTCCTTCTCCCACTGAAGTCTTGAACCCCTCAAAGTCATGTATGAGGGTTAAAATCAACTTCATTCAAACTCCTGTTAATGGTGATATTGTGACCTCACCCCATGTTCAAATGTTTTTTTTTTTGTTGTTGTTGTTGAGACAGAGTCTCACTCTGTTGCCTGGGCTAGAGTGCTGTGGCGTCAGCCTAGCTCACAGCAACCTCAAACTGCTGGGCTCAAGCGATCCTCCTGCCTCAGCCTCCTGAGCAGCTGGGACTACAGGCATGCACCACCATGCCTGGCTAATTTTTTTATATATATATATAGATATTTTTAGTTGTCCAGCTAATTTATTTCTATTTTTAGTGGAGATGGGGTCTTGCTCTTGCTCAGGCTGGTTTTGAACTCCTGACATTGAGAAATCCTCCTGCCTTGGCCTCCCAGAGTGCTAGGATTATAGGCATGAGCCACCACGCCCAGCCAAAAATGTATTTCTTAAGTGGTAAGACTTAGAAGTTGAAATTACTCTTTGATCCATGGGCTGCAGAATGGGTGTGTGATAGTAAGCATGAAAATAACATTCATCTCCTTATACATCTCCATCAGAGGTCTTGGGTGACTCGATGTATTGCCAATGAACAGCAGTATTTTGAAAGGAATCTTATCTGTAGGTCTCAATGGTGGGCTTAAAATATTCATTAAAACATGTTCTACACAGATGGGCTGTCATCTAGGCTTTGCTGTTTCATTTATAAAGCACAGGCAGAGTTGAATTAGCATAATTCTTAAGGGCCCTAGGATTGTCATAATGGTAAATGAGCATAGGCTTCAACTTAAAGTCACAAGCTGTATTAGCCCTTAACAAGAGAGTCATCCTGTCCTTTGAAGTTTTGAAACCAGGCATTGACTTCTTTCCTCTTGGGCTATGAAAGTCCTAGATGGCATCTTCTTCCAATAGAAGGCTGCTTGTCTACATTGAAAACCTGTTGTTTAGTGTGGCCACATTCATCAATGATCTTACCTAGATCTTGCTGAAGCTTCTACATCAGCACTTGCTGCTTCACCTTGTGCTTTTACGTTATGGAGATGGCCTTTTTCTTTAAACCTCATGAACTAACCTCTCTTAGCTTCAGACTTTTCTTTCACAGCTTCCTCACCTCTCTCAGCTTTCATGGGATTGAAGGACCTTGCTCTGGATTAGGCTTTGGCTTAAGGGAATGTTGTGGCCGGTTTGATCTTCTATCCAGACCACTAAAACTTTCTCCATATCGGCAATCAGGCTGTTTTTCTTTCTTATCATTCATGCATTCACTGGAGTAGCACTTTTAATTTCCTTCAAGAACTTTTCCTTTGCATTCACAACTTGGCTGTTTGGTGCAAGAGGCCTAGCTATCAGCCCATCTCAGCTTTTGACATGGCTTCTTCACTAAGCTTAATATTTCTAGCTTTTAATTTAAAGTGAGAAATGTGTGATTACTCCTTTCACTTGAACATTTAGAGGCCATTTTAGGGTTGTTAATTGGCCTAATTTCAATTTTGTTGTGTCTCAGGACATAGGGAGACCCGAGGAGTGGGGGATGGGGAAGTAGCTGGTCAGTGGAGCAGTCAGAACACACACAACACTTACGGAATAAGTCTGCTGTTTTATAAGGGTGCAGTTCACGTCACCCCAAAACAATTACAATAGTAACATCAGTGATCACTGATTACTGATTACCATAACAGATATAATAATAATGAAAACGTTTGAAATTGTGAGAATTACCAAAGAGTGACACAGAGACACAAAGTGAGCACATGCTGTTGGAAAAATGGCACTGACAGACTGGCTTGATGCAGGATTGCTGCAAACCTTCAACTTGAAAAACATGCAGTTCTGCGAAGCACAGTAAAATGAGGTATGCCTGTAATTATTATTTTTAGGGGCAGAAAGTGCTTAGACATGAGCTGGGGCAAGCCTAGGGGGGCCTAGAAGGCAGGGCAGTGTGAGCTGCAGGGGCTCATGAGCAGGTCTGTGATAATGGGGCAGCAGTGCACAAGTGGGCGGAGAAGGGGCTGGGCAAGCCCAGGATCAGGAGGGCATTCAGGGCTACTGTGGTACCCAGGTGCCAGGTGATGGTCCTCAGTGGGTAGGAGCTGCCACCAAAGAGTGGCTGTTCTGGCTTCCACCACAGAGGGACAAGTGAGTCAAGCCACCCTGAGCAGGGCCAGTCCTGCAATGACAGATAGGAGGGGCTTCTGGACCAGTGAGGCATTTATATGGATTTATAAGGGTTGGGACATTTCTCACCCATCAGACACAATTCTCAGACTCCCCTTATCTCCTCTGTTCCCAGCCTTGCCAGGAGCCAGAGGGAGCTGCTTGTCCCTGTTGATAAAGGGAGCCAGGGGCGTGATAGTGATGGGACCCCAGTTCCAAGGCTTGAGGAGTTGGCCTACAGAAGTCTTCCTAATTCACCCAATCAGGGGCACCAGCCTCATGCCCTGACTTGGGGAGTGTCTGGGAAGCCATTCCCAGCCTTCTTGCATGCAGCTGGATGCTCCAGGGCTGGAGGATGAGCTGTCCCTCGTGTTGGGTGACAGGGCCTGGCCCAGCATCTTCTCTTCCCCCACGAAGCCTCATCCTCTGTGCAATGAGAGGGGTGAGGAGGGTCTTCTGTAGTCAAGACTGAAGCTGGCTAGATGGGGTGGGGCCCAGCACAGTCTTCCTAAAGGAACACCATCAGCCCTGTCTGCCTGCCATCTGGGCTGAAGGGGACTCAGAAGGCAGCTGTCTCTCCTTGCAGCAGGGGAAGTAAGATGTGGAGCTTTGGGGGTCTTCCTAAAGGCTGCTGGGGGCACCCTGATGTGTCCAGTCAGTTGGTGAATTCATTAGGCCTCTGGGAGGAATGGGATCTGGGCCTGGGAGAGGGCAAGGTGCAGTGGCCTGAGGCCCTAGGCATGCTGCCCTAATGGTGGGTCCCAGGCTGTGGCATCAACTGCTGGCTGCCCTTCCCAGCCTACGCCAGCATGGGGCTCTGTGCTGGCTGCTGGAGCACTGGGAGCTGAGCCAGCATTTCCTATGGGCATGGTCCTGAGGGCAGGGAGCCTCCTGGTCTTACCTGGAGAAACCTCTCTGCAGCCTCAGGGCCTTCAGAGCCTGCCAGATTTGGTCCAGAAAGCCTTCCAGACCCAGCTTTTGCTTATGAGGGTTTGGTGGGGGCCATGGTGTGGGGGTGGAAGTGTGGATGGTCAGGGGAGAGCAGACAGCCCTGATTTTTCTCCCAGACTCCCTTTCTCATCAGCCAGGGAAAGAGCAGGATGAGCTGCTGGGAGGCTACCCTGCCAGGCAGGCGGTGGCCAGGCCGGGCTGGGCTGCTAAGTGGGCCCAAAACCTCAAGGAAGAGTTCCTTGGGACACTAGGACTGGCTAGAGGGATGGGACTTGGCAGCTGTTTTCTACCCAGGTCGGATCATCGTTTCATTTTTAGATCTGAGGCAGTTGTTCAGGGTGACTTCGTGTCACCTCTGAGCAGGCGAGGTATGGTTAGGTTGGTGCAGTCCCTGGGACTTCTGCTCTCTGTGCCCATGGAGCAGGCCAGAGCTCATCAGCTTGTCTCTGGGCCAGCCTAAAGAGAGGAGGGGGAAGGATTTTGCTTGGGGACATTAATGTCCTCATGAGCTGTCATGCCATGCCCTGAGATCTCAGAGTTTTGTGGGAATGGGTAGCTTTGGGGGCCATGGTCTAGTTCAGGAGAGGCAGGACCATCCTCCTGGTGGATACAGGGCAATAACTAAGAGTTCTGCCATCTTGGGCTACAGCCAAGTGACATAGGTGGAACCCTAGGTCAGGAGGCCAGATTTCTAGGTAGTATTCCAACATTCAATACTTCTCAACCTTTCAATCCATCAGTAGATAGCCACTGAGCAGCTACGACATGCCAGGCACTTGCGATGCCCTCGGACAGGATGGACACCTCCTTTGCCTCACAGAAGTGTGAAGGTTTGGGATGAGCAAATGAAACAGAGAATGGGAAGGGGAAATATGAACTAGAAGGTGCCTTACAAATGTCCTGGGAAGCTGAGCGAGAGGACAGGAGGGCGGAGCTCCTCTCCTTGCTGCACTTTGGACTGGAGCAGAGGAACTGCGGAGTGCAGACAGACTCCGTCACAACCAAGTTCCCAGCAGCAATGCTCAGTTCAGGCAGCAGAGGGCAGCAAGGGGCCCACTTGCCTGGGAAGGGCCTCTGGAAGCTGGTGGTGGTTGTGATGAGGAAAGAGAAGGGGGTGGAGGGGCGAGCCAGACAGGAACATTGAGAGGGGTGGGGAACATGGTGTGCAGGTCAACCTTCCTTAGGGGTGTGTGTAGGTGGCTCTTCCTGCCCCAGTCCCTTGGGAACCTGGCTGATGAGTGCTCAGCCTTCCGGGCCAGGGGGCCTGGCGCCCTTCCCTCAATTTGGTAGGGGATTGGCACCAGGGGTGCTTCACTCTTCTTCCTCTGTCCCCATGCCTCTAGGGGGTTTAACTCTACCTTGTGACCCCAGTGGGGAATGGGGGTGGATCCCCCACTGGGAACTCATGGCCATTTTCTTTTGTGACAAAATTTTCTTTTGTGCCAATCTTAGAGGGTTTAAGCCACCTGTTGCCCCTGGACAGTCCAGATCCCCAGCCTGGCCCGCTCTCTCCCTCAGTCTTGATCTCAGAGCTTTGCTGCCTTTCCTCCTGGATGGCAGGAGAATTAATTAGAAGTATACCCTAGCCTGACATTTCCACACTAG